GACAAGTCTCTAAAAAGGAGCAAGTGATCGACAGCATGAAAGGTTGTTGTGGATGCAGTTTTCACTTCAAGCTAAAACTACCTCATCTAACTCAGAATGAACGAATCGTGATCAGAATGCAAGACTTGGATCATGCGAATCAATGCATGTGTACAATCACTCGCTTCAGCAAATGTACTTATTATTATTATTATTATTATCATCGTCATCATCACCATCATCATTATCCTTATCTATACACATCCCAGAGGCAGAGGTGTAAAATCCAGGGGTCAGAAAGTAAAAGTCCTGCCAAGTTTTTCTCCCTCCCACAGAATGAGCTGATCACTCATATTGGCTCTCCAGTTCGAAGCAAATCCAGGTGGTTGGAATAAAGTTCGGGAAGGATTTTTACTTTCTGAACCCGGACTTTACACCTCTGCCAACAGGTAATGGAATAACTAAAGCAAATTTGGTCCTGAGCTAACGTTATAACATTCGTGCGTGAATGGAGAGTGATCTGTCGACCTGAATTGACGGATGTTATCTTCGTACCGTAACAACAATTAGTAAAGGTTTTGTTGGCACATCTGTCCGAGGTAACGTTATCATTATGTAATTTTCACGGGCAAGAATAAAGTTTATGTCAAAGTCACAATTTCCAAAGATGCGCTTGCTATAGCCAACAACGAGGGTAAGGCTAATCTTCTGAAAATTTCTGCTGAAAATTCGCAAATTCTTCTTTTTTTCATCAACTCAACTTATACATCTCAAGAATAACTGGTGAAAATTTCATCACAATAAATTAAGAAATGAATAAATTATGAAGGAAAGTATAGATGGTTGTAGTTTTTCAGCAGAATGTTTCAGCAGATTAGCCCTACCCCAACAACGACAGGAAGTGGGCTAATGTTGGCAAGCGGCACACAGAGCAAGCATCGTCAGAAAATAGCAAACCTAATTCAGCCAATTCCTTTACAAAAAAAAAAAAATACTTGCAATTTTGCAAAGACTATGAGAGCCTGAGCCATACTAGATTTCAGGCGGCATTAACTTAACGTCAGAGACATAACGTAAATGGCTACACACGAAAGATTAGCCAGCCAGCACAGTGCCTTATAGTCAACGTGTAAATTCTCCCAACGTTAGACAAGCCAACATGTGATAATCATAAGTAGCGAGGCGCCTTGGCCAGATCGGTTGGCAAAAACTGATACCATGTAACTACAAATACAACTGAATCGTTGCCAGGTTGAACTGCTGGCCACACTCTTGGCCAAAAACCACAACCGCCTGAAACCGCTTTCACACTGTACGCGAAACGAATTTTTCGCACGACAGGTTACATTCGAAGTCAATGCAAAGACGCGAATACACGCGTTTCGCGTGTATTCGCGTCTTTTCATTGACTTCGAATGTAATCTGTCGCGCGAAAAAGTCTTTTCGCGTCCGGTGTGAAAGCAGCTTGACACCTGGCAAGAAAGATAGCAACGTACAGTTATGAGTACAACATGGCGGGGTTGCTTTTGAAGGTACAGCTGTCATGAACAAAGCAAGTTTGTATTGATTAAGAATAATCATGATACATTTCTCATGCAACATACAGAACGCAGTCATCAACAACACATCAAAGTAAAACTCAAGCATATACGAATACAATTTCTTCAAAGATGGCAGGCAGGCAAAATATTTACCCTTTCTTTTCAGAGACGACTGACGTTACTGTAACGTCACCCATAATGATATTTCCAGATATTGTCTGTTAAAAAAATGTTCTTGCTGGTCTGTTGGTAATTCCGTCCAAAAAATTCTGTCGACTTAAATTGTATATTAAATTTGATTTCAAGAGGTAAACCCTCCCATGTGCTCAAGGTCAAAGCATTTGTCTTTCAGTAGACCGTCGTTCATGTGCTGTAAAGTAGTCAGAGCAGAGCGCCGCCGCTATATCTGCGTGAACGATTCGCTGACGTTGAGCGTAGTTTGCTCGTTCACGAGCAGTCCTTGAGCCAGAAGTCACATGCCTCCCGAACAACGGCGATGCGCACACCTCCCACCTCGACAGGACTTCATTGAAATAAGAACTCGTGAGCTGCAAACTTGTATTGTTTTTCAAATTTAAAATCAATGAATGTACTCTTGAGAAAAAAAATACACAACAACCTTTTACAGATGGAAATTTTGTTGTTGTGTTTCTAGAATTGGGCGAAATTTTATATTGTTGGCCCTTAAAATTCTCTGGTTTGCCAACCAGTATTTTATTGCTTGGATTCTTTCCAAAGATCAAGGATATCAATTTGTTAAAAAAAAAAAAAAAAAAAAAAACTCGTGGCAAAATGTTGTACAAAAAACAGTAATATGTCTTTATCCATAAACTGTTGAGTCCCAAACAATAAGCTGCCAACTGTAGCCTAAATGTAATGCCTTTCAGCAATTCAAGTATAGGCTTTTTAAGACCTATAAAGCAAACTGATATGGTTGTGTGTGCACAGGGACAAAGGCAGCTCAACCCAAAATTCAACATTGATTAGAAGTCATGTCTTTGCATCCCAGCCAGTCTGATAAAAAGTATGCAATCTCAGCCCGTGTAAATGTCCCGCCATCTTGCACTGCTATCTGATATTGATTTACCCTATGCAGCTAAATCTAACTGACATTCTCCATGTGAGAGACTGCGCCAGTCAGCTCATTATACTGAAAGAATGTTGCTCTCCACCGCCTGCATAAAGAAGCCTATAGCTCACAATGATAAAATGAAAATACATTCTCAGAAATGCGTTTTCGTTTTTCAGATGCAAACGCATTATTTGTGTCATTATGAAAATGGAAATTTAATCCTCCACTTTGCGGTTTCATTTTCAAGTCCATGCAGTGGCGGCTGGTGAACTGGCAACAGGGGAAGCTCAAACTATCCCTTAAAAATAATGATAGGTGATGACCTGTTTTCAATCATTCATTTGAATTACCATTACAGAAACTCCGAAAACTCTCAACATTATCAGGTGTGGTCAGTTTTCATTAAAAACGCATACCTGTCAACTCTCACGCATTCGGCGTGAGTTTTAGTGGCATATTGTTCCCTGTCAGCAATTATTCAATCAACCCTTATGTAAGAGATTCTCGCATGGAATTAAGTCCTTGTGCATGGAGGTTTATCAGTCTCAGGTTCCTCACGGTGGATTTCACCACTACCCAGATAGCAAGCACCTCCGCTCCGGATCTCTGTGCCGACTCCAGCTGATCCGGGGCAGATCCGGAGCGGAGGTGCTTGCTATCTGGGTAGTAATTTGAAACCGATTATGACTCTGGACTTCTCACGATTTTTGTTTACTCAGGGATTGGAAGCAATGCCTGTGTTTCATGATCGTTTAAATTGCTTAAATGAAATAAGATCATTGGAAGTAGTGGAATTGTATAAAGACGTTTCAAATGATCTTTCATCCATTTTGGATGAACCCTTTAGATGACCGCACCTTTTCTACATGGTCCCATCCATTTTTGGGCCTATAAAAAATATCGGCTAGTTTAACATAATGTAGAATAACGTAAAAAAAATTTTTCTTTATTTTCGGTTGCATATCCTCTGCATGCAACGACTGCTTGAAGTCTGTGATGCTTTGACATAACCAGACTGCGGGTATCTTCCCTGGTGATGCTCTGCCAGGCCTGTACTGCAGCCATCTTCAGTTCCCGCTTGTTTCAGGTACTCTGAGGCTTTAGTCTCCTTTTCAACATGTCGCTAGTAAAATGCATGCTACACTGCATTCAGATCCGGCGATGGATTCAGCCGACAGAATCATCAGAACAAGAGGCTCCTCAGAGCCTGTAGTACAATTGCAGTACAATTGCGACCCCGAAAAAAAAGAAGAAGAATGGAGCCGAAACTTAGACTCGTGGCCTACCGGCCAGTGTTGCCAACTTGGCGACTTTCTTGCTAAATCTGGCAACTTTCCAAATCATCTTGGCGACTTTTTTTGTCAAAAGCGACTAGTGAAAAATCTAGTGACTTTTTCTGTTGTTATTGGAGAGTTTTCCGGTGTTTTGGCGACTGACGTGAAAGCACGTTTCGTTCTGCAGTTACTGTCCTGAACGAGCAGCGGGTGCTGCCGTTAGCCCCTCCCCTGTCCGAAAGCACTGGAAGATGCGTGTAATATGAATGAAATGAACGCCCCCGTAAACAAAATGAACTGCGGTCCCCCCGGGTCAACAAAATAAACCCCCCTGCTCAGTAAAATACACGCCGTCTCCCCCACCCGGTCAGGGTGTTTAGCGACTTCTAGCGACTTTTAGGACAGCCAATAGCTACTTTCCTTACTGAGGAGTTGGCAACACTGCTAACGGCCCAAGTAATAAAATATGCCACTGTCCAATGAATAATGGAGCTCCCAGAAATGGGGAGGCTGGCAAATAGGACGACCTCAATCCCTGACAGCCAGACCCTGACATGTGACCCGTGCAGTGACGAGAGGCAACAGTTGATTTGTAAAGTGCATATTCTTGTTTGCACGCTCCCAAAATCAACAGCAGAGTTTGCAACAAATAGTGCCGATAAACACAGTTCTGGCTTTCCACGCTCTTGGGGCCCGTATGGGGGAAAGCCCACAAGCAAACAAAGACAACTGCCAGATTACAAATGGCAAATTTGACTGCTGCCATAACATTTTGCAATGGCATTAAGAAATGTGACTGAATGCTGAGTCAAATGAAAATTGGGGTTTTGGCAAGACAGAAGGATTTTTTCCAAAGTTACTCCACCTCTGGGAAATTATGTCTGGGCCTGTTTATGCTGCCGTTAACATAAGCACGTAATTTTGCGTGCTGATACATGAATTGTACCTAGCTACAGGGTTTTGACTGGAAAAAATATGATGCTGATAGGAAAGTAAAATAAATCTTGCCATCTCCTGTATTGGTTATTGAGATAAAAACTTGGATTGGAAGTGATGGTTCCTATCAACCTTCCAGTGATCAGAGAGGCAGGTACACACCACGTTACTCAGGTCTATACATCTGTTGTTTGTGAAGACGTGGTAGCGCAGTGTTTAAGGAGGCTTGACTTAGGATCAAGAGGTCCTGAGTTCGAGTCCTTGCCATGGCCTTCGTGGTGTGTTCTTGGGTAAAACACTTCACTCCCACACTGCCTCACTCCACCCAGGTGTACAAATGGGCAAATTGTCAGGGCAACCTGACCCAGAGCTGAGGGAGTACCTGCGATGGACTGGCATCCCATCCAGTTGCTTCATGCCACGGAAACTGGGGTTGGGGACCAGCCTGATGGGCCCCTAGGCTTGTAAGAGACTTACTCTTATACATCTATTAGCACGGCACAGTTTTTGGCTAAATTTGATCTAACACAGTAGGCTGCTGATAATGTGCATGGCTTAATATCTGCACTTAGCGGCAGTGGTGTTTAATCTAAGATTCATTTCATCGGAGATTTGTTTGGCTCAAGATGTCAGGTGAATGAGTTTATTTCAACAACAATATGACTTACTTTTACCTAACATTGGGGTCTAAGTTGTTTTCATATTTACAAAATCTATCATTGACATTCCTGGACAAAAGGGCAAAGGTCATGAAGCAGAATATCTTTGTTTTGTCAATCACTTGCAATGCCTCCTTTGCTTAGTCGGGAGGTGCTCTAACACAAAAAAACATGGGGAATAAGAGGGCAAGCGCAGGATGGTACAGCAAGGCTTGTGCCTCTTGGTTCCATTTACGTTGTACATTATCTTGGGGATCAAAGTCATTTATGCAGGACATAGATGCTATGGCCAGCTGTGCTAGCCCAGCGAACAGCTCAACATGCTTCAGCGCATCACACCAGTGCCAGTCACTAGTGCAAGTGTGCTGTTAACAGATTGTGCAATGTATCCACAGACCACTTCCCCAATAGTCTCTTTCCACATCGTAGTTTTTTTTTTTTTTCAAGGTCTATTTGAGCTTTGGGGCAGTAACAATAGGAATAGCCTATTATCTTGGCCAGATGTCTTCAGTGAAGACGGCCATGTCTCTATACCTCTGATCCTCGTTGAGTCCTGTAGTTGTACACAACACTGAGGCAACTGCAACATTATGATAAATTCATATTGCCTTGCACTGAGGAACAATGGCAATGCTTTACATGACAGCTATTTAGTCGATGCTTTTACCTAAAGAGTCTCAGAGTTGATGTTATTTGATGGAGGCCAGTCTCCGTCAAGAATAATGCAGAGTTGAGGAGCTTTGCTCAGGGGCAATTAACTGATTCCAGCTAATTGGAGCTCAGACTCCAAGGCTAAGGGCGCATTCATACCAGGTACAATTGTTCCCTACCATGCCGCAGTACCATTGTCCCCCCTCCACTCTCCCAGCTTTCACACTAGCAATGTTGTTCCGTACCCGAGTACAGCAGCTTTTGCCAAAATTCCAATACAGTAGGTGGCAGTATGCACTTTGGTGGTTTTGAAATAGAGAAATATACACAAAGAAGAAGAAGCCACGGAAATTTATCTTTTTCATCACTTGAGCTGCCAGACTTTCATGCCGCATTCTACACTTTTGAGATATTGCAGCCGCATTTTCTTAAGTTTGTCACGGCACTGTTCTATTGTTCTACGATAACCATGCGAATGTACAGTAAATACTCACGAATGATTCCACAAATCTCCGCATTTCTGTGCATAGTATCCAGTTGTGACTGTATGTTTTCGTCGACCCGAATTTCGAGGAAGCATTTAATTTCTTCGTTTGAGCCGCTATATTTGTTAGAAAAAAAGAGTCGAATAGTTAATAGTTAAGACTTCACAGAACAGTTCCCTTCCGTGGTCAAGTACAGTTGCTTTCACATTTGGTACGAGTAGGATGAACCGTGCCTGAGATCATCTTTTCCAAGCAGATTCGGTACGGTACGCTTGTGTTCACACTTACCAAATAAACTGAACTTCAAGGTAAAGTGTACTCAGATCCATGACCTACCCTAAAAGTCTTTGATCAAACTTCTAAGCACTGGGCTATAGGCCAACTCCAAAGGCCGCAGCCGTCCTCTCACCTGCTTTTTTTTTTTTTTGGTCTCAAATTTGGCTGGGCTACGAGACCAGCCCCAACAGCAATGAAAACATAAATTGGAGAAAATTATATGTTGACCAGCACAGAATTCAAGGGGGATTTGTGTTCTTGGCTTCCATCCCCAGCTCAGTGACCAAAACGCAAGACCATTCCCCGTAATCGACTTGGGAGTTCTGTGAAATTCAGACTCACGGAACTTCGAACACCAAACAAAATGGAAGTTTGTTCCCACAGGCCTACCTGCCAGGCCAGTGGTATTACATGAAAAAGCCTTGAAGTAAACTGTGCTAGCACGCACTGTGGTCTGCTTAGCTCATTAACTGGCCCATCACGAAAATGCTTTAGAATTTGTCATAGAGTAACTGAAGACAAGGCAGGGTCTGTGTCCCGGCTAATGCAAATTTGGCTGGGAAAATATTATGGGTGACACGGTTTTCTGGGACCTTCTCCATTATGCCCTGCATGCATAAGCCCCAGGAAGTTTTTAGGACTGTGGGAAAGTGAGCACCTTTTGTTTCTTGACTTACCTCTGGCTCAGAGGACGGGCTGTTGATGTAACATCAGGCCACCTGATACCCTCAACTATAAACAGGGTCACTTAATCCTCTCTGTATTCCAGTACCCTGAGCAAAGTACTTTGTTTTTGGTTGGCACCAGATCAAACACCACTGCAACACAGAGACATTTCTCAGAAGTCCAGTCCCACTTGTTTGAAAAAAAAGTTACATAACATAACGTAACATTCACGATACAACAGACCAGAGGGGCGCGCACCGGCTGTACAACCCAGCAAAGCCTGCTATTTTCAGATCGTGAGACCGAAAATAAAACGAGATATTTAATAAAAAATTAATGAGGAAAGACATGCCTGGCAGAATTTCCGTAATAAACCGGACAAAGAGCATGTGCTTGATATTTCTTAACTTCTGGCTGTGCATAGCTAACTAGACTTTTTTGATGAGCGAAGCAACTTTATTTTTTTCCCTCATTTCGATAGTGATAAACAGTGACATTTTTCACAATGCTACATTGACGCATGAGAATAAGCCCAGATAATCCAGTGTTAGGCAACCTCCGTGAGCATCGCTGCCTCATATAGGCTGAATCACTAAAAGAAATTAGTGTTTATGCAGTACGGCACAAGTCACTGCTCCAAAAAACATTTGAGACGTAAGGATAACTTCTATTAGCCAGTTCCACAGCCTGAGATACAAGACTTTAAATTTGCTGCTGGTTGATAGGTTTGATCATCTAGAACATTTTTATAAGTGGAGTAACACCAATATTTAGCATTTTGATATTTACAGTTGTGCTCGAATGTTTACATACCCTGGCTGAATTTGTAAAATAGGTGATTTTTTTTAAAGAAAACATGAATAGCCAGGCAAAACACATTTCTTTTATTTCCTATTGGATTCATGTCCAACTGTAGGTCATGCAGAATGGCACAATCATCAAATAAAACATGGCAATAAAGGAAAAAAATGAAACAAACCCTTTTCATAAGTGTGCATACCCTTAGTTCTTAATACTGTGTATTGCCCCCTTTAGTATCAAAAACATTGTGCAGTCTTTTGTCATAGTTGCCAATGAGGCCCCTAATTTTCTCAGGCGGTATAGCTGCCCATTCTTCCTTGCTCATCTCCCCAAAGCTGCTCGATGATATTGAGGTCAGGAGACTGAGATGGCCACACCAGAACCTTCACCTTTCTCTTCTGAACCCACTGGAGGGTCAACTTGGCCTTGTGCTTTGGATCATTGTCATGCTGGAAAGTCCAAGTCCATCCCATGCGCAGCTTTCATGGTGAAGAATGCAAATTGTCTGCCAGTATTTTCCGATCGCATGCTGCATTCATCTTGCCATCAATTTTCACGAGATTCCCTGTGCCTTTAGAGCTCACGCACCCCCAAAACATCAGAGAGTCACCACCATGCTTTACAGTGGGACTGGTGTTGACTGCTCTCCAAACATAGCGCTTATGGCTGTGACCATGAAGTTCTATTTTGGCCTTGTCACTCCATAGAGCAGTATTCCAGAAGTTGCGAGGTGTGTCAAGGTGTTGTCTGGCATATTTAAGCAGACTTTTTTGTGGGATTGGCGCAATGATGGCTTCCTTCTAGTAACTCGACCATGCAGCTCATTGATTTTTAAAGTACTTCCTTATTGTGCTCCTTGAAATGACCACACCATCTTTTTCCAGAGCATCCTGTATTTCTCTTGAGGTAGCTTGTGGATTTGTCTTTGTGTCCTGAACAATTCTCCAGGCAGTTTGGGCAGAAATCTTTCTTGGCCTACCAGACCATGGCTTGGTGTCAACATATCCCCTAATTTTCCATCTTCTAATCACAGAGTGAACAGTACTGACTGGCATTTTCCAGTCTTTGGATATCTTTTTGTATCCTTTCCCATCTTTAAACAGTTGAACTACCTTGTTATGAAGGTCCTTAGGCAGTTCTTTAGCCATGGAGAAGGGAAAAACCCTTAACTGCCATTTAAACCTGAGTGTGTCTCCTTGTGTCTACGTCATAAGGTCAAACATTCAAGCGTATGTGCACTTATGATCAGGGCCATTTGGGTGATTTCAGTTATCATAATGAATTAAAAAGGACCCGAACACCTGTGTGATGATAAATGACTTCACATGAGCACTATCCTTAAATTAAGGAGAAGTTTTTTGCATGATGAGCCATATTTTCAAAATAAATGGCAATTTTCACAAATTCAACAAGGGTATGCAAACTTTTGAGCACAACTGTACATCCCACATCTGCATGAAGATTTCCAAAAATATAACCCAGTAATTTCCTGTAAGTCAGGATATTACAGACAAAAAGAGGCACGCAACTAGATCCATGCAAAAAAAGACAGGCAATTTAACAATACATCCGTTGAAGCTGTACTGTAAAGTTAGTTTGAATGCTGTTCTGTTTTTGATGTCTGGGTGGTAGGCCTATAGCAATAACAGGATTATCTGATCAAAGGGCAATAGGTTCATTAAACAGCAGGATGAGCGTGCCCACACAGGAAAGGTGCTGAAAATATGACAAAAG